TCCACCCCCATGCAAATCCCTGATGATCTTTTCGCGGAGGGAGGTGCAAGGGATACACAGTTGTTCCCCTTTCATAAGGAACCCATCATAAATAAAGAAGTCTTCTGCTAGCTGCTTATTCACACATTTCTCCCATACCTGCTGGAAGTCTTCATCTTGGGCATATAAGTCTTTCAGGCACTCAAAACCCACAATCTCAACATTGAGGGTCTTGACGAGGGCTACACGCCTGCTAAGTGCATCAGCCACTTTATTTTGTTGTCCTGCCTTATACACAATTTTATATGGGAACTTGTCTAGGAAGGCAGACCATCTAGCATGCAAATCACTTCTTAATTGCTTTTGCCCACTAAGATATTTTAGGGCCTGGTGGTCAGTATAGAGAACAAATTATTTTGCAATTAAATAGTGTTCCCATGTCTTCAAGGCTCTAATCACAGCATAAAATTCATTGTCATAGGTGGACCACTTTCTTCCAGCTTCACATAATTTTTCACTGAAGAAAGCAATGGGCATCTTTTCTTGGGACAATACAGCCCCTATGCCAACTCCACTAGCATCACATTCAACTTCAAATAATTTATTAAAATCTGTCAAGGCAAGAACAGGAGCAGAACATAATTTTTCTTTTATGAAAGCAAAACTTTGCTCTTGTTCTTCTCACCATTGAAACTTACCATTTTTCAAACATTCAGTAATGGGAGCCATGATACTACTCAATTTCTTAATAAAGCGCCTATAGAAGGTTGCCAACCCATGAAAACGCCTGACATCTGTAACAGTGGATGGGGTCGGCCACTCCCTAATGGCTTTCACTTTTTCTTCATCTACTTTCACACAATCCTTCCTTATAATAAATCCCATGAATAATAAATTATCATTCATRAAGATGCATTTCTTCAAATTAGCATATAATTTATTTTCTCTCAATGTTTTTAGGACCTCCCTAATATATTCCACATGCTCAGTGATAGATTTGTTGTATATCAAAATATCATCAAAATACTATCACAAATTTACCAATGAAGGGGCGCAATACCTGGTTCATCAACCTCATGAATGTGCTGGGTGCGTTGGTTAGTCCAAAGGGCATGACTAACCACTCGAACAAACCATCTCTAGTCTTGAAAGTTGTCTTCCATTCATCTCCGGGACGGATCCTGATCTGATAATAACCACTCCTGAGATCAATATTTGAGAAAATTACAGCTCCATTAAGCTGGTCCAACATGTCGTTCGGCCTAGGAATAGGAAATTTGTACCAAATGGTGATCTTGTTAATGGCCCTGCTGTCGACACACATTCTCCAACTGCCATCATTTTTAGGTGTTAATAAGGCAGCTATTGCGCATGGACTCATGCTGATTTGAATGTGTCCATTTTTCAATAATTCTTCTACCTTTTCTCGTAAGATTTCATTCTCCTTAGGACTCATCATGTAATGTGGGAGGTTAGGTAGACTGACACCTGGAACAAAATCAATATGGTGTTATATGTCTCTCATGGGAGGGAGTTCATTTGGTAACTCCTCTGGAACTACATCATTGAATTCATCCAGTAGTCCCTGTACTTCTGCTGGAATTTTATTTTCATCATTAACATCTTCTCCTTTTACTACTAGCAAATGTATTTCATGAGTATCCTTACATTTTTTAACAAATTCAGCATGATTATGGGTGATGGTAAAGAAATTCTTCTCATGTGTTTTTAGAGCATTTGTAATATTTTTTTCAACTATGGGTAACAAAGTATAACGTGTACCTTCTTTTTCAAGTTGGTAGGTATTCTTCCTACCCATGTGTCTTGCATCTGTATCAAACTGCCAAGGCCTCCCTAACAAAATATGGCAAGCATCCATATCAACAATATCACAATATACTTCATCATGGTACTTACCAATCGAAAAAGGTACATTGCAGCGTTCTTCCACTCGTACGCCGCCTCCTTCCTTGATCCACCCAATTGTGTATGGGTTGGGATGTTTTTTCGAGATCAGTTGTAATTATTGAATGACATCCCTGCAAATAATATTTTCCTGACTGCCACTATCAATAATTAAATTAAATAATTTTCCCTTGACAGTACATYTGGTACGAAATAATCTGTGCCTTTGAGAAGTATCCTTATTTTTCTAGGACAACATTAATTTTCTGACCACACAAGTATACTCATCATGTTCATATGGACC